AAACTATCCCAAACAAGAGTAAACATGTTTTGAAATTTCAAAACAACAAGATTTTTTTTAACAACAAGGTTCTCATGTCTTTCTTCTCGAAATATAAGTTGTTACTGTCATGTTTGAAAAATATTGTCATTAATGTCATTAAATACTGCCATTTTTATCATTAAAACAAACCGCTTTATGTTAATATCATAAGGAACCGGATCGTTACAAGAAATTCAACAAGACCAACACTGACAACAATTATGCCTAACCAACTAGCACTATCAACTCTACGGCTAGACTCAGATCATAGAGACGATCACCCCTGAAAGAGCAATACGAATCGCTAATCACCAAGCGGGTGTGACACAGCAATCACTGTCCTTCCATCAACATAATATTTAGCAGAATTTTCAATCATTATTGTAGACCTAAAACTAAATACATCAACAAAAGACAGAGCAATGTAAAACATAACGCAAAAATAAAACCATGAAAAATCAAATAACTGATAGAACTTCCAAACCCTAGCAACACGATCACTCCAAGACAGTGGTTCAGGAGGAGGGCGAGCCGCCGATCTGTCTTCTCCCTTACTCAGTCCTTCACCTCTCCACATCCTCTCGCCGCCCAAGCCGCCTCCACTACCAACACCGCTCTCTAGCTACCATTGCTTATTTGTCAAAAACTAACCTTTCAACTTCCTCCTCAATTGCACGACTGAGCCAACGTTGCTCGAGATCATCCATAGGAGTCATAATTACCCTTTGGGTCTAGGATTCGTTTCCAAAAGCTGATGATGCACTCACTCCTCAAACAATTGGTGGAAAGAAAACCCTACGCGACGACAAAGTCGCTAGGGAGGAAAAACCCTACGCGACAGAGCCGCTAGGGAGGAAAAAACTCTATGTGGCTGAGCCGCTAGCTAGGGAGATCCGAAGGAGTCGCTCTGCTTTCTTCCTAAATACTGCCATGTTAATGCTCAACATTTTAACTATTTTGACAGTAATGCAATAAATACAGCCACATTACTCCTATTTCAGGAAGAAAAACATATTAGACATGTCTTGGAATTCCAAAACATATTCACTCATATTTCAGGAACTTTGCCCTAAATTATACTCCTTCCGTCCCACTCAACTTTGACATCTTTTTTTGTCCAAAAAATTTTGCTGATGTCCTTTACTCCTATTAAAACTTTGCCACTTTGAAAAATACTGTCATTAATGGCAATAAATACGGTCATGTCAATGCTTATTATTGTAACTACTTTGACACTAATGACAATTAATATTGTCATGTTACTCATATTTCAGGATGAAACACATAGCAAATCTATTTTGGAATTCCAAAACCTTTTTACTTCTATTTCGAGAACTTTGCCCTAAATTATACTCCCCCGTCCCACTCAACTTTGCCAACTTTTTTTTTGTTTTCCCCAAAAACTTTGTCATTTTTTTAAAACCATGAATGTGCTTTAGTTTGTTTCTCTCACCTCCACACAAGTCCCAACCTCACAATTTTTATTTCCCTTATTTCTAATCTATTCCGATGTTGACAAAGTCCATGTGAACAGGGAATAGAGGTAACATACATTTTAGAATACATACACTAAAAATATCAATTGTTTATGACGGAAATTATGCCAAAATAAGTAGTACCTCCACCCCGTTCAAAGGTTCTATTGTAAAATGACTTAGTTATTTAGTCAATAATTACATATGATAATTTGAGTACATTTTGAGAAATAATTTTGGTGATTATACTCCCTCCGATTCACATTCTTCTTTACACTTACTATTCATTGGTCAACTCAAATCACTCTTAATCTTTTACTTTATATATCAAATTTTAATCGAAGTTAAATTTTCTTGATCAGACTTTGTAGCGGTTTTAATGTAGTTTCTGAATATGTAAATTTTATTTACTAAAAATAATCTGAGTATGAACAGGGATCGATTTGCTTTATCGTCAGTCAAGCCTTTTTTTCCAAGTGTAAAGGAGAATAAGAACCGGAGGAAGTATAATACAATGGGCCATTGATGATAATTGTGATGTTATGTGCATTACTTTTAATACTTAACGATTAAATCGACATTTAGGAGTGTTAATTTTTTCTACAATAGAAATGAGAACCTTTTAAAGGGAATCAAATGTACTAAAAAGAAAAGTGATAACCAATGGGATGAAGGAGTATTCATATTGATTATATGGATCAATTAAGCTTGAATAACGGAATATACACGAAAATTGTACACATTTTATGCACACACTTCTAATTGTCTATGGACACAAACAACTCGTTCAGAAATTGCTGTATACACAGGCAACTATGAGCGTGTACACAAACTGTGTACAAATTCGTGTCCAAGTAGCACAGCCGAATCAAATAATCCATGTGTCCCACTCAAATTGCCCACTCTCAATTGAGTGTGAAATAAGAATAGTAAATACCTAAATACTTTGTAGTTGATATTTGTGCAGAGAAGATAGAAATAAAGAAAACCACAAAGTCATTACACTAAAAGAAAAGTGATAAAGTTTTTTAGACAAACAAAAATAGAAAGTTAGCAAAGTCCAATGGAACGGGAGAGTATATCAATTTCAGTTTGATTTATATCAATATTTATTTCGCTTTGAAACAGATTGGAAGAATATAATGGCTACCAAATAAATATCATAATATTTCCGCTTGGTTCGGTCCAGGTTTGTTAAGTTAAGTTTGGATTTATCATTTAAAAAAAAATCCGTAGTTTAAGAAGAATTTATTGAATAATTTAGTACATTTAAGTTTTTTTTTTTAATTTCCCGCAATTTCAGTTTGATTTCATTTACTACGGGTCGAAAAAAATACAATCAAACTCAGATCAAATTACATACTAATATGATTTGGTTGCGCTAAATTTAATTTGGTTGCACTAAATTTAATTCGATTTAATACGATTCTATTCGATAGAATCGAAACAATTTGTCCACTCTACGTCTCTACATACCTTTAAAGGACGTCACCTCATTTATCGGGGTTTTCATAACCGAGCAAACAATTACATGGAGTATAAGAGAATATAAATTGAGTTTTAATCACAGTTTGATAGAAAGAAACTATGATTTGGGGTTTAAACCCATGACTTCTTATCCACCCTTAAGGATGGCAATGGGGGCGGGGCTCCGTGGGGAACCACCCCGTGGGGTGGTGGGGTGGCGGAGTTATTTTCTCCCCGCTTAAATATGGGTCGGGTGATGGGTTATGCCCCCCCCGCACCGTCCCCGTCCCCCGTAATAATTAATAATAATAATTTCAATAATAATACTAATAATAATAGTAATGTTAATACGAAGTAATTAAAATAGTCTGGTGGCCCGGTGGGTTTAGTGGTATCTAATGGATTGTGCCTAATGGGTCTATCTAATTCTTGTTTAATATCCAAGTTATCTTGTAAAATTGCCTATCAAAATCATAAAGTAAAATGATTTTTTAGGGATAAAGTAAAATGAATTGGGTTTTTTACGAGAATATTACTAAAATAAAACTTATTTACATAAATATGACTATTCATTACTACAACGTAGTGCTGTGGTAACTAAAGTTCAAAACTTGAATATGAATTACTATGATTTCATTACTACTCTAGTAATGAATCATATTTTTGTAAACCATCTTTATTTTGGTCATATTTATGTAATTATTTCAAATGAATTTGGGAAAGTTATAAAGTGATATTAGCTTAAATGTCTCAGGCACGATTGAATGTTTTCTTCCTTTACCATTACAATGCATTAATTCTTTGGGATAAGGTTCAAATTGGACACTATGGTTTCATCAGAATCTCATATTGAACACTAATGTTTCAAATGGACCAAATTAGACATCATGGTTTCATATGTATCTTATATTGGATACTAAAGTTTCATAATTCAATATAAGTGAGTGTCCAATTTGATCTTTATCCAATATAAGTGAGTGTCCAAAAACTATGAATTATGAAACTTTAGTATCCAACATGAGATACATATGAAACCATGGTGTCTAATTTGATCCATTTGAAACCTTAGTGTCCAATATGAGATTATGATGAAACCATAGTGTCTAATTTGAGCCTTATCCCTTAATTCTTTTCTTTTGAATGTCATCTTTATGATTGTAGTTAGGACTCTTAAAATTTGGTGATCATATGTCGTCCTAGATGCCGTCAAATGACCATGATTGATTGAATGCAGGGTTTAAAAAGATATTACAGAGCTAATTAATGCTAATAAAGAGTTTGATAAAATGACTAAATTAAAACGCGTATAATGTGTTCTAGATTTGAAATGAGATGTAAGATTACATTGACACTTAAAAAGTAAAGGGAAAACTATCAAATAAGCCCTCGTACTATACCGAAAAAGTCGATTAGGCCCTCGTACTTTACAAACACTCAATTAAGTTCTCGAACTATTAAAAAACGTTTAGTTAAGCCCTTTCGGTCGGTAAGTAACCGGTTTCCCGGTTAAATGTAACCCGTTTCCCGACAGCCACCGTCGTTGGGGTTCGAGCACATCGTCGCTGTCGTCGCCGTTTAACCGGGAAACCGGTTACTTACCGACCAAAAGAGCTTAATTGAACGTTTTTTAATAGTTCGAGAACTTAATTGAGTGTTTGTAAAGTACGGGGGCGTAATCGACTTTTTCAGCATAGTACGGAGGCTTATTTGATAGTTTTCCCAAAAGTAAAAGGTTTTTTGGCTACTGGAAGTGTTGTTTAATTTTTTTGAAAAATTGTCAGAGTCTAAAATGATTTTTTAAAATTTTTGACGAGTACTTACCCCGTTGGGTACCCGTGGGTCTAGCGGGTCGGGGCGGGGATGGGGTGGGTCGAATAGTAGTGAGGGATGTGAGAGGGGTGTGGGCGATTTTTTAGACACGGGGCGGGGACGGGGGAGTGAACCCCCACCCCAACCCCTCCCCATTGCCATCCTATGACCACCCTACCCAAATTGGCATCACAAAGACAAACCAAAGCACATTTCTTATCTCGCCAGGTCAGGAAGTCGAAAGCAGATAACAGAGAATCTTTGAAGGGCAGTGTAGTCACTGACAAAAACCAAACCTATGATTAGTGCGGTGAAGAAGGCTATGCCAGGGGCATGACTGTCATAAAACAACACAAAAGATTAGTTGAAAACTCTGCCGTCCATATATAAGCAGCAATTCTTTTTCCATCATCAAGGCGCTCGCGGCAATCTTTTGTGTGGAAGAAGTCGAAAGGGGGTGTCTTTTCTTCTTCTTTGTTTCTCTTCTTTGTAAGTTTGTAATTACGTATTCTGTCCAGACATTTTATCCCTTTCTGGATGTATGGTTCATAACTCATAAGGTGATTAAGGTCTGTGTGTGATTAAATTTTGATTTAGATCTTTCTGGATGTATGGTTCATAACTCATAAGGTGATTAAGGTCTGTGTGTGATTAAATTTTGATTTAGATCTTTCTGGTGATTTAGGTTTATTGGATCTCGCTTCTCATTTTTATCGAGGAATACCATATCTCCATAAAGCTTCAAACTTCAATATTGTAAGTACGATTCCTGCTTCGTTTTTTTTTTGCGTACAGATTTGCTTGTATGATTCATCTCTGTTTGTTTGTTTGTTTGTTTGTTTAATGGGTTCGTGTTTGATCATTTCGTTTTATTCAATTTTAGGATTTTTCACAGGATGTTCTGCCAAATTATGCTTTTAGGGATCAGTTTCGATTCCTGAATCCTATGTGTAGAATTTACTTATCTTTGAATTCAAATAATTTTCTCCAAAATAAATAGGAATGGGGTTTTTAAATTCTGAATTCGAGTTACTCTGAGTTCATAGTAAAAATTTAAATGATTCTTTTCCTTCTTGAGTTGAACAATTAGACCTACTGTTATGTACTTGGTATTATTTATGTGATACACGGATTTGGATTGTGACCTACTGACCTACTGTTGACCTACATAGAGAATTCTATATTTAATTCTTTATGAGTATTCTTTATGTGAGCTACTGTTGAACAATTCTTTTGACCCGGTAACTCACCGGGTAGGAAGAGACCTCTGCAAGAGAGGTCTCAGGTTTAACTCCAAGCAATGACTTGGAATGAAGCCTCATTCTCTTTCCATCAGTGTGATCAAAGCTCAATTTACATCATAACCATCTTAGTAAAGTAAATCTATTAAGTTTATAGAGTTTTACCGAGAATTGATTTCAACAGAAGAAATTATTCAATACCTTCTTTTGAAGTGCTTACATATTGCTTATCAACTATGGTAAGTGTATTTAGGATTTGCTTCATTCTATTTGGTGGTGGGGTGGCGGCATTATATTAACATATTAGGCAACTGTACAGAATATTACTAATAATAAACCTTTTATTCTTAAATGTGGCCTAAGTTGTGTTCTCTATTCTCGCTGGAATTCGGTGTGATAGTCACTAGCGACAAACACCACCAGATAGTATGTATTTTGAAATTTGAACACTGAAAGTCTGAAATTACAAATAACAGAAGGAATGTAAGATGAAAGCACAGGTTGAGACCAATTTGAGAGGGTCTCTCTCCCACCAAGTTCTGTCCAAGTCCAAAACTGCCGTCCACTTTCTCTTCGGTTACTCTTTATTCTCCTCCTTCCGCCATCCTGGTCCCTTATTCTTCATTAGTTATGTCTCCACGTTCTTTTTCCACCCCCATATTCCCACGTTCTTTTTCTGCCTCCATATGACCCCTTTTACCCTTACAGGTATATACCTTAGAAAAATCCCTATTGGGATTAATTTGGTACTTATCTGAGCTCGTATCATGCTGCTTGTTGGTTCCTCTTTTGATATCATTGCTCAACTAATATATTTAAATTTAAATAAACATTGGCAGGTAAGACTGAATGATATAATGGAGTCCAAAGGTGGAAAGAAGTCTAGTAGTAGTAGTAGTAAGACAGTGTTCTATGAAGCCCCTCTTGGTTATAGCATTGAAGACGTCCGACCAAACGGTGGAATCAAGAAGTTCAGATCAGCTGCTTATTCCAACGTAAGTTCCCCTCCCCCTCAACAACCCTTGTTTTTAGTTTTTTCATTTGATATCACTATTAATTGTTTTACATTATTATCTCTTCACTGCAGTGCGCCCGGAAACCATCCTGATATTTCTTCACTAGTGTTCTGATCACGTCTTGAGGCGTGCTGCTACTAAAACTATTAACTGTTCTATTACCTATTATATTTTCTCTGTCCCTTTTAAGTAAAACTAAAACCCACATTTCCATTCTCCTTTCTCTTTCTGTCGCCTTCTCTTACCCCCTTTTTCGCAAATCTATCTTTATTGAACCTCTTTCTGGCTTAAAAAGATCCATTTTTAGAAATGGCCATGTCTGTCTCTGCAATTGGTTTTGAAGGATATGAGAAGAGGCTTGAGATTTCATTTTTCACGCATCCTGAAGGAAAAGGCCTTAGATCCCTTTCCAAATCCCAGCTAGACGAGTTCCTTGGACCCGCTGAGTGCACAATAGTTTCTTCACTGTCAAACGAGTTTGTAGACTCTTACGTCCTGTCGGAGTCGAGCCTTTTCATTTATCCCGACAAGATAATCATCAAAACCTGTGGGACCACCAAATTGCTCCTAGCGATCCCGCCTATCCTGAAGTTAGCGGGGTCACTCTCTCTTGAAGTACAATATGTGAGGTACTCCCGTGGCAGCTTCATCTTCCCGGAAGCTCAGTCATACCCTCACCGTTTCTTCTCAGAAGAAGTTGCCATCCTGGAAGGCTTTTTCGGAAACCTCAGCTCGGGAAGTAAGGCTTACATCATGGGAGGCTCCAACAAGCCACAGAAGTGGCACGTTTACTATGCTTCGGCTTCTTCTACTCCCACTTCCAAGTCCAAGAGCAGCCACCCTGTTTACACCCTGGAAATGTGCATGACCGGTTTGGACAGAAAAAAGGCTTCTGTGTTTTATAAACACGATGCCAGCTCAGCAGCGATGATGACCGTTGAATCTGGAATCCGGAAGATCCTACCTCAGTCCAATATATGTGACTTTGAGTTTGACCCTTGTGGATACTCCATGAATTCTATTGAAGGAACTGCCCACTCCACAATCCACGTCACTCCGGAAGATGGATTTAGCTATGCTAGCTTTGAAGCTTCGGGATATGACCTCAAAGCTATGAATCTCACAGCTTTGGTTAAAAGGGTTTTGGCATGTTTCATGCCCAGAGAGTTTTCTATAGCCATTTATGCTGATGCTCTTCCCGGCAAGGTGCTCGAAACAGTTTGTTCGGTGGACTTGAATGGTTACTTTCTTGGTGAGAGATGCAATGGAGAGTTCGGAAGTGGTAGTTCCATTGTCTACCAGAAGTTTGTTAGGGATTATGCTTACCGTTCATCCAGGCCTGTGTTGAAAGGATGCTCCTTGTAAACGAATTAAGCTGAAGAAGAAGAAGAGGTGGAGTTATACCTTGGTTGGTTTTCGTGGTACTCTTTTATGTTGTCTCTGTTTATAATATTATTTTCTACTTGAACAGTCTTGTTTATCGTTTGTTTACACTCTGGCTGCTATATTTGTTTTGTTTGTTCAAACCCATGGGCCTAGCCTGTCAATGGATCATGGGCTTGTATACCTGTTCTGGGCTTCTTGTTGTGACTGAGCAAATCAAAAGTTTCCCGTGATGTTGACTGTTACTTTGATTTGATGAGCTGATGTGTAATTATTTATACATTTACCTCAGTGGACAACGTTTAAAAAAATGAGTATATAATTAATATTTTGATGGTAATCAAATCACATGTTTCCAATAGTTAATTGTGCTACCAATATAGTGATTTAATATTAATACTTATTTCTTTTAAATGTTATACTCATTTTTTAAACACAAAAACATCCGGTCGTATAGTGATTAGGGGTTTTGCCTTGAATATTACTAATAAAAGGGCAATTGACAAAAAATGACCTTTTTTTTAAAATTCCAGAAATGTGACTCATAAGTGAGAAACTTACTTATATATCTACTGTTACACTGCCACGTTACAGTGACACGAGACATAGTGACATCCACCACCCCTTCCCACCGCCTCCCACCGGTGATCGCCGCCGCCAGAGACCGTCGCCAACCATAGTGACAATGATCATAGTGACACGACAGTGACACCGTCACTGCCCAGTGACACCGATTTTCAGTGACGCCACCCGCCAAAAGTTACTCTGGCTGCAACCACCGTCCTGTCACTATGACCGCCGAAAAATTTTCCGGGGACATTAAATTTTTCGGTGACACCATCCGTCGGAATTTACTCGATCTGGCCACCACCACCTGGGTAATGTCCTTCCTCAAACTTCCAACACCCTTTCCAAGCTAAGCCCCTGCATAATTTGTTATTCTGCCCTCATGGCCCAACCGTAGAATCCTAGCCGTCAGATCCCGTCACCACACCTCGGTCGTCAGATCCGGCCACCACACCTCGGCCGTCAGCCGCTAAATACCATTGCCGCAACCATGACCCCGCCCTCCCTCAGAGTCTCAGACCCTAGCTAGGTGGTACTAGATCTTACCACCTACCGCCACCGCTACCACGAGACAGAAGGAGAGGAATAAGAAGGTTGGCGACAGACTTGCAATGGCGGCGGGCGGTGGACTTGCAATGGCAGCGAGCGACGAGGTGTTAACTTGTTGTGGCGGTGCACGATGAAGGTGTGGCGACGGCCATTGTCTGAGCGGAGCTTGAGTACGGAGGACGAAGCTTGAAGATGCATTTTTCGGAAAACTTTTTCGCATCTAACGTCTTCAATAGGCAGCTGTTGCACATAATTCACCTGCCATGGAGAATTTCTTTGCCTCAGAGAAGTTATTCCATGGTCGGTAACATAATTGACCAGAGATTCAGAACTCACTTCACTAAATCCACCTGCAACAAAGGGTGTTTTTAACTTGTGCACGGGATGTCAATAAGTCCAACTTGGGATTCACCCCCTGAAATCAACAGAAATGAAGATATAAATTTATTACAATAGCTATTGGAGCAACTTCTAGATTTTGATTTATAGCTTCAAATTGGAATGGATAAAGGACTGTTAATGTTCTCATGGTCTGTCAAAAGAAACGTTAGTTGATGCCTAAATCTAACTCAAATAAGTGGTTTTTGTGTTAATTTGGTCCACTTAAAAGTTCAGGGCATGTTTACTAACAGAGATATTTTTCAAATTTCTATTTCTGTTTTCCGTTCACTAATTTTCTGTTTTCATTTTTCAGTTTTACTATCCTCAATATTTTTTTTTCATTTTTTAGTTTTCCATTTTATAATCTGAAAACATGTTCATCAAATGTTTTCACCCGGTTGGGATTGACTAGAAGACCGAAAATACAGTCTCATTCTGAAATCAAACCTAGTACAAACCAAGTAGGGTACCAGGTCTCACGTATAGGAAAATCGAGATCTTAAATTAGATAGGGACCGCCGAGTCGTTGACCATACTAAATCAGGTACCACCTGGTCGTGGATCGAACCGGACTGAGGCCGCGAGGTCATGGACCGGATCAGACAGGGGCTGTCGGGTCGTAAACCGAACCGGACAGAGACCGCCGGGTCACCGACCGGAAAGGGACCGTCGGGTCGTCAATTGGACAAGGCCCGGATTGCTCGACCGTCGACCAGACCGGACAGGAACCGCCGGGTCAATGACCGAACTCGATCGTCGGGTCGTTGACCGAACCAAATAGGGACCATAGGATCGTTGACCAGACTGGAATTGACACCGGAGCAGGACCGGGTCCACCACTAGACGTAAGTATGCAAATTTATTGCAGCGGCACGACAACATTTACAGTTTTCAAATTTGGAAAACTAATAAAAGTCACTTCTCCAATTTATTAAGGAAAATAGAGACATATCTCATTTTTTGTTTTGGAAAATGATTTGGTAAACACATTTTTCTGTTTTCTTTTCTCCACTTTTCCAGCAGTTTTCTTTGGTAAACATGTTTTGTGTTTTTTTTCCAGTTTTCCAGTTTTCTGAAAAACTGGAAAATACCTCTTTTAGTAAACAGATCGTTGGTGTCTGATGCGAACTTTATAAGTAACCTTAGTGTCTTTTTTTTAGCCTTCTCCCTGGAAAGAAGGCTCAAAAGGTTGTTTATGGTTGCAATCTTAGCCATTCTTTACTTCGGCAGTGGTCGGACAACTGTTGTTGAAACTTAAGATAAGCCGGATAAACAAATTAAATTGGGTCTTCCAAATGAGACTCATTAGTTCACGATTACCGAAATCTCCTTCGCGACCTGGAATTCAACATGTTACATATTTTGGATAGTTATGTGAGGGGCGTTTTCAAAAGTTTTTCGCCTCCAACGTCTTCAAACAGGCAGCAGTTTCACGTAATCCACCCGACATGGAGAAGCTCTTTGCCTCGGAGAAGTTATTCCATGGGCGGTATCATATTTGACCAGAGCTTCAAAACCCATGCCCGCACTTCACCAAATCCACATGCAGCAAAGGGTGTTTTTAAACTGTGCATGAGATGTCAATGAACCCAGTTTGGGATTCACCCCTGAAACGAATGGTGATTAAGGGTTTGTGAACTCTGAAATCAACAGAAATGGAGATATGAATGGATTAAAATAGCTATTGGAGCAACTTCTGGATTTTGATTTGCAGCTTCAAATTGGAACAAATAAAGGACTGCTAATGTTCAGATGGTCTGTCAAAAGAAACGTTAGTTGGTGGCTAAATGTAACTCAAATAAGTGATTTATGTGTTAAATTGGACCACTTAAAAATTTAATGTCTGATCCGAACTTTGTAAGCAACCTTAGTGTAGTTTTTGAGCCTCCTCCCTATATCGTATAACCATTTGCATCATTTAAGGAATTGAATATTAATGACCGTAAATTTATTGTTAGTGGTGATTGTTAAAAAATTTAATAAGAGAGTGACATGTCATTCTTTCATATCTCAATTCCATAAATCTTCTTCCCAATGGAATTTTACACGGGGATTAAGAAAGTGAGAATTGTGCATTGTATAGTTGTGTAGAGGCTGGAGAGATAAATATGTAAAAATGGTGTAAATCATAATTTTTTGCCAAAAGAGAAAAAGGAGGTTATTTTGGGACAAAAGAAAATGGAAAGTTGAAAAATAATTCAGTGCGGAGACCGGGAGTCTATAAAACAATACATGTTTGCAAAAACTTCAAAAAGTGTCTTTTCAACTATTCATTTAGAAAAGTTAAAATGATTGTTTTCAAGTATCACCTTCTACTTAACTAAGTACTTAAAAGTTGTAAACTCGAAACTAGTGAAAGGTGTTTTAAACTGTTGTCACTTTTCTACTACATAAAAATCATTATTTTTATCAAGCACCATCAAATTGTACTTTCTCAAAAAAGCACTTTTCTCAAGAACCTTCAAATTTTACTATTGACAACATTTTCTAAAATTACTTAATAGAATCACTTTTTAAAGTAGAAGTAATTACTATATGCCCTTGATATTCCATAATTTGTGTGTCCAACCTACATGTTACAAGTAATTCGTGTAAATAGTCTTGATATCCATGTATGTGTTAGCGCAACTTGATTTTGATCCTTGATTACACATATATTGAACTTCACCATATAATTTTTAATTATGAAAAAGTATATATTAGGAAAGAGTTAATTTTATCGTCTAGTACCATAGAATGAAATGAGAACTTCATTTTAGAATAAAGAGGTTAAAAATAGGTAGACTTGTGCATTAATATACTGTGGTAGCAGCAACACTTTGTTTGAATGTCATCCACTTTTTAAATTTATGTTAGTTAGGACCTCAATTTAAAGCGAAGTCATCTTAGACATATACTCTGTAGCTCTTTTAATCAAAACTCAAGATCAACAGTGTTGTTTTGGATTAAATTTGATATAGTGATGTTTTTTCTGCTTTGATGTAATAATGTATTGTTCCAGGAAACTTCTTTTCCAAATTTTATCTAATAATTAAAAGTATGTAAGAACTAATATTCTCACCATAGTCCATCTCATACTAAAGACTCTGCAGTCTGCACCTGTTTTGAACATATGGCCTAAAGTTGTGCACATGAGAGATGGAAAGAAAAATATTGTGAACAATTAATTCATTGATGGAAAAAAATGGTCGTAGCACTATTTTTTTAGTTGGACTTGGGGTACACAATTTTTGGTGTACCCATTTTTACACTGTTTGTGTAGGTTTTTTTTGGGGATTTTTTTGTCTGTACATACAAAGCATATTTTGAAAAAAGTGTGTACCAAGAGTATTTTTGGTGTATTTTGACAAAATACGTTTCGTCTGTACAGACAAAAAAAGCCTACACAGACAATCTGTAAAAGTGTGTACCCCGAGAGCATTTTTATCTTCGTAGTTCGGTTTACGATGCTTGACTGACGATAAAGCAGCTTGATTCCTGTTCACACTCGAATTATTTTTAGTAAATAAAATTTACATATTCAGAAACTACATTAAAACCGCTACAATGCCTAATCAAGAAAATGTGAAGATAATTGTGGGACGCCTTCGCACTATAGGTCCTCTATGGGCCTAGCTAGATGCCTAGATCGATGACAAACGCACACATTCAAGCACTCATGCTAGCCTACACAAACTTTTCTCTAGTTAAAAAATGGGAAGGACAATGTGGGGGTTGGCAGTCCAATTGGATTGGACGCTTTTACATGCTATGTTACGTTCTCTCTTTGAATGGGCAAATTAAAAGCCAAGATCATGACTGTGACTTTGTACAACCTTTCAATAATGTATTCTCATGTGAGGATGAACTTTAGTTTGGTGCTTCAAT